CACGCGAAACATATTCTTTACAAAACATAAATTTTTGAAGTAAAGTTGAACAAGCTGAAAACGCTGTTCAGACGTAAGTCTTTCCATAACGAAATGCCAAAAAATACTGCACAAAAATAATATGACAGATTGACACGACTCACGCGTGATCTGTTAAAAAATGCTACTTAAAGAGTATCTCTACTTGGATCATTCGTTATAATATATAGGATATGTAGTTGAGCAAAGCTGTCACATGGTTTAAGGCAGCAGATAATTGATAGTAATTTATGGTTGTTAGGATTATTTGAAAAGTAAAATATCAAAGTATATATTGCAGTATTTGGATTATCGCTTAAAAATGAAGTTGCAATGAATGATGTTTTCATTTTGTCTCATTATATATCGGAACGTATTTAAAATTGTTTAAAATTTCTTAAAAAAAGACTTTAGGAATGTATGATAGATTCTTGTATCTCATGGAAAACTTTATTATACTGCTAAATCAACCCACATTTAACGGTATTCTCACTCTTTTGTGAAATCCACAACATTTTAATCACCGTATACCTCATTTTGATGAAGAAATTTATGTCATATCATGTATGAATGTGTAAGTATATATACCATCGTTTATATAAACAATTTAAAGCCTTGAGGTCGAGTAAAATTATATTGCCGCCACTCATCTCTTAACACAAAACTTTTCTCTGTTATCTATTGTCGGTTTGTCTGTCATTATTTGTTTACTTTTTTAGTATGTTGCGCTCTTATTTTATCGTTCACTTGTTGTGACAGACGCCCATCCGAGAAACCCCCAATCGGTGTAAGTGTGAGTAGAAGTGGTATAAGCGGTTGTAAAGTTATTTTGCAAAGTAATTTTGAAGCAAAACAACGCAATTGCTCATATCTACGGCTACACTTATATATGTATGTATGCACGTGTCTGCATTTAGCACACCCTTTGATATGCGTCACAAAATGCCGCAGTAAAAAGCCACACATCATTCGGCTTGTTGGTTATGGAGTGTCATAAAAACTGTTTGCTGCTATCACGGCAATTGGCTCAGTAGCGGGGAAATAGGGAAAGAGAGCATAAACAATGGAATTGAACGCATGAACGAATGCACGAAGGCGGCGAACTGACATGAAGAAGAAGTAAGTAAGCGCTGAGAAGATAGGCAGTTGACTGACTGCTTGGCAACCTAAAGGAAAACCAGCAGAAAGAGAGTGAATTGGGTAGGTGAAAGAAAGGAGAAAAGGTTGTCGTCATTTTAAAATGTAAACTGATATGAGGAAAATTTCTTCCTTCCGGTAAACGGTCCCATAAATTTACCCGAGAGGCGTATGTGCGTGCCCAAATTATTATATTTGTGTGTGTATGTGTGTGTTCGTATCCTTTATACCACTCTTTATGCGGCGAAATTTTAACCTACAAATGCTCTGTGTATGCACGTCCAACAAGTTGGTTATGGCAAAAGTATGATAATGATTATTTTTTGTGGTCAGACCGCAGAGACTGATCGCATACACCTACAAACATATAAGCAGAAAAGTAAATATGCCTTTTCTTTTGTTAAGAAAACTCTCTCTCAGACTTTTTTTTTGTCCATATCTCTCCATCATGCAGGCGAACAACGCTCCTGGGTGTTGCTCCCGCATTTACATAATAAAAAGAAAAGTTAAAAGATATCCGCATAAAAGCATGCAAAAATGATTGAGCTGGCAGAGCATAGCATCTACATACACCGACGTATACATACATATGTATATAGGAAACGCCTTAAGGCGAGGCGTACGTTGCCACACAAGCCACCTATGCGACGGCATGCATTCAATGCGGAAGGATACCATCAGTTTAAAACATCCATTTACGCACATGCTTACGCATAAAAAGTAAATACTTGCTCCAGGCTTAAGGGTCGTGTGTATGGTAGTCACTAAAGGCCTTTTTTAAATTTTAGCATGACCTTTAACCTTTTTCTGAATTTCTTTACATTCTTCTTTAAGAAACTGTTTGATATAAGGTACGCTTTTAACCTGGGAAGCGTGTAGGCGCCGAACGGAAGCAAAACAGAAGAAACTCCAATTACTTATCCGACCTTTCTGTTTCAATTAATTGAAATTAGTTATAATCAGAAGTGCGGTTGCCATACTTATTCCAATTTTAAGTTTTTAAAACTTAAAAAATACAGTACGGATACAAAGTAAATTAATCAAACTAAATTAAGAAGATATTTTTATGGAGTTGCCACAAATTTTAGAAAACAAATATGTAGACCAATTATCTAATAATCTAGAAAAAACTTCATAAAACATTTTAATTGAAAAAGAAGGTTAACGCAGTTTTTAAGTTACACGTCACAAAACAATTAATCAAAATATGTAACATACTTCTATGGACTTGCCACTAAAGTTTGATAATGTTTATAAAACGAAAAAACTATTATCTTTAGAAAAAACAAGTAAGAAAGGGCTAAGTTCGGGTGTCACCGAACATTTTATACTCTCGCATGATAAAGTGATAATCGAGATTTCATTATCCGTCATTTACATATTTTTTTATTTAGCTGTAAATTAATTAGATTAGAGCAATTTGTGTACTTTGAGTATTGAATTGTATTTTCATTTATTTTAATTGCATTGAAAAGTTATAGTCCGATCACGACAATTTTTCCACAAGGGATACCTCAGCTCAAATACCGTATTTGTGTAAAGTTCTATTCCGCTATCATCATTGGTTCCTAATGTATATATTATACAGAGAAGGCATCAGATGGAGTTCAAAATAGCGTTATATTGGAAGAAGGCGTGGTTGTGAACCGATTTCACCCATATTTCGTACATGTCATCAGGGTGTTAAGAAAATATTACATACCGAATTCGATTGAAATCGGTCGAGTACTTCCTGAGATATGGCTTTTGGTCCATAAGTGGGCGGCGTCACGTCCATTTTCAATTTTTAAAAAAAGCCTGGGTGCAGCTTCCTTCTGCCATTTCTTCYRTRAAATTTAGTGTYTTTGACGTTTTTCGTTAGTCGGTTAACACACTTTTAGTGATTTTCAACATAATGGGAGGTGGGCGTGGTTATTATCCGATTTCTTCCATTTGTGAGCTGTATATAAAGGAAACGACTCTATAGAGTTTGGTTGACATAGCCATAGTAGTAGTAGTAGTATTTCCAAGATATGTACAAAAAACTTAGTAGGGGGCGGGGCCACGCCCACTTTTCCAAAAAATTACGGCCAAATATGCCCCTCCCTAATGAGATCCTTTTTGCCAAATTTCACTTTAATATCTTTATTTATGGCTTAGTTATGACACTTTATAGGTTTTCGGTTTTCGCCATTTTGTGGGCGTGGCAGTGGGCCGATTTTGCCCATCTTCGAACTTAACCTTCTTATGGAGCCAAGAAATACGTGTCCAAGTTTCATCATGATATCTCAATTTTTACTCAAGTTACAGTTTGCACGGACGGACGGACAGACAGACATCCGGATTTCAACTCTACTCGTCACCCTGATCATTTTGGTATATATAACCCTATATCTGACTCTTTTAGTTTTAGGACTTACAAACAACCGTTATGTTGTGAGAGTATAAAAATTAAAGGGATATAACGAGAAAGGTTTCCTCACTTAATAACCTTTTTGTAATTTAAAAACTTATGCCATACAATACGGAGATATTATATAACGTTGCCACTTCATTTTAATAACAAAACAGTAAGGAAGGGCTAATTTTGGGTGCAACTGAACATTTTATGCTCTTGCAACTTGCAAGAATCTAAGCCAGAGGAATACTTTAAGGTGTAAAACCAATCGTATATAGTAAAGTCAGTCGGACGTTCGAAAATTCTGGTATTGGTTATATAGTTTTGTTTTTGACTAGTTGTCGCTATCTAGTTTAGGCCCAAAGCTATACTGTTATGAGTAAAACATGCTCTCTTATTTACATTGATATCATATAACTCACATATTGGCTGATATATGCGGTACAAAGCACACGGAAGTTCAAAAATCTTTATATAATATTAAGTATATGGGGGAGATAGGAAGTATTGGTCCGATTCTATCAATTTTTGACATACGAACATACTATTATAAAAGCAGGATTATCCAATAATTTCAGTTAAATATATCACACATTGACCAGCATTTTCGATCAAAGTCGTACCGGGGTCTAAATATTGGGTACCTAGAGACTTTACCAATTTTTATTGGATTTACACAATTTTTGGTATTAAGGTGGCACACACACTAAAGACAGTATTCATGCAAAGTTTTATTCCGTTTTATTATTTGCTTCTTGATTTGTGTATTGGAAACTGAACGACTGAAGTGGAATTTAAAAATCTCTTATATGGAAAGTAGGCGTGGTTGTTGTCCGATTTCGTCCATTCTCACAATGTGACATAAGAATATAAGAAGTATGCCACGTACCACGATGTCGACTGACTTTAGTGAATTTGAATATACATAAGAGCAGTGGTAAAAGGAAAATGAAATTTAGAGTCAGTTATATATTTTCTTGAAATAACCGAAGTCAGCTGTTTAGAAATATCTAAGATTTATTAACATAAGAAAGTATTCAATTATTCAGGTTATAATTAGTTACAATTAATCTCCATAGCTGACGAAGCTAAATTACTGTTCAGGCCATATTTTTTATGAATTTTCAAACTGCGTTCGCCAAGCTGTCATTATTTTTCAAATATTGTTGAATAATGAACACAAAATCTTCTGTCGTATAGAACATGTTTGTTAAGTTTAAATTGTCAGCTGTTGACCTGTTTCTTGTTTAGGGTTGTCAACACTTTACTACATAAATGGCGACAAATTTAAATCTTGCATTCATTTTGGGTCATAGTGCATTTCATTCCAATTATAATTTATTTATAAAACTTTATATGTATATACAATATTCTTAAAAGTAACATCATACACACAGTAGAAAATAAAAATATATATATGGCAAAAAAAGTATTCCACTAACCTCTGCTATTATTCTTCTCATTGTAGTTGTAAACCGGACCAAATCTTCGAATGACGTTTCGTAATAAACGAAATACGAGTCGAAGAGCTTGACGTAAGCGAACCATAACGCACAAGAATAGAACGCATGTTAGCTAATAACCGATACAAACTAAATAAATCTCAAAGAACGAATTCGAAAATGTCGATGACGAAATCACAAATCCGGTTTAGTGCTGCAGCAGCTCCTTACCAACAGCGAGTACATATGTACATACTCCTTAGTTGCCTGTGCGCACTCGCGATATTAGTGCCGGCCACAAATGCGTTGGCGAATTGCCCCAGCAGCTGTCAGTGTGATGATGACACTTTGGTGGTGAAGTGCGGTGAAGGCGCACTCGATGTGCTGCCAATAACACTGAATCCCTTCATACAACGCTTGGTGATACAAAGCAATAAAATCAAGACCATAGACTCATCGCTGCAATTCTATGCTGAGCTTTTGTTCCTGGACCTCTCCTACAATGACTTGGTCACACTGCCGATGCGCACATTCCAATTTCAACGCAAGCTGCAAGAGCTGCATTTGAATCAAAATAAAATCGGTCAGATCAGCAATATGACATTTGTGGGCTTGGCCGCATTAACGGTGCTCAATTTGCGTGGTAATCTGCTGGCCGAGCTCGAACAGGGAACCTTTGCGAAAATGTCCAAACTGGCGGAATTAAATTTGGGACAAAATCGTATAAATCGTATCGATCCGCACGCGTTTGATGGTTTGATGAATCTACGTACACTCTATCTCGACGATAATACATTGACTACAGTACCGGCGCCTAGCATATTCCAAGCAATGCCCAATTTAGCTGAGCTTTATTTGGGCACCAACTCATTTACGTCTATACAAGCGAAAGCTTTTATAGATCTCAAAGGGTTAACACGCTTGGACTTACGTGGTGCTGGTTTGCATAACATATCCGCCGAAGCATTGAAAGGTTTGGAGGGCTTGCGGTACTTAGATCTGGCTGACAATCGCCTACACGTGGTACCGACAAATGCGCTGAGCCACTTGGAGCGACTAGAGGAACTTTTGTTGGGACAGAATGATTTTGAGGTGATTGCAAGCGGCGCCTTCGGTGGACTGAAACAGTTACGTAAACTGGAAATTACAGGCGCCCAGCGGTTGCGTAGCGTGCAAAATGGCGCTTTTAGTGCCAACACCAATCTGGAACATTTGAATTTATCATCCAACAAGATGTTGCAGGAAGTACAAGAGAACGCTCTGGGAGGACTGCCACACCTGCGTCACGTCATACTCAAAGAAAATGACTTGCACACGATTGCCGAGGGACTCGTGCCATGGACCGACCTACAAACACTCGACCTCTCCGACAATCCGATCGTCTGCGATTGTCAAGTGTTGTGGCTGCGTAATTTGCTCGTATCGAAGAACTCTACCACCGACAGGCTCATCGACGTGATGTGCGTATACCCGGAACCCATGCGTAGAGAACCACTAGCACAACTATCGCCGGCCATGCTAGGCTGTTCACATAGTGACACAAAGCAACAGGCCATGATCATAGTGGTTGTTGTTGTTACAACCGCCATCATAACCGGTTTGTCGTTGCTGATTTATGGCTGTCGGCGACGCATACGCGAAACACTGAAAGGCGGTAGGGGCAATTCGGCATTGGGACGTAAGGAGCGCGAGTACCAGAAGACTTGCTCAGATGAAGAGTACATGACGCGGCAGCAACACCCTTGCAGCCTCAGCATACAACCAACAATGCAGTTCACCAACAGCGTCGGCTACAATATGCAACAGACGCAGCCGTATATGGGCTCCCGGCCAATACCAGTTACCGAACTATAGCTAGAAGCACCACCCCCACCTCCACATCGAGGTTGGGGTACCTCGACAGCGACGGTGAATACCAATAATGCAACAACAACAACAGCGACTGCCACAAATACCCTACAACAATTGCAAGTACCGAATGGTGTGCATGCTAACGGCACGCTGCCCGCCGAACTGCAGTCGCCCTTTGTGCAACTCAGTCAGATACACATGATGACAAACAACAACACTACCAGCAATAGCAATACCGTTAATAAAATGCCTAACGGTAAGCCGCCACCACCACCACCACACGCACATACTCTGTCTTCGTTACCGCGCTACGGCAGCGCACGTCGTGAGCCGAAAATTAACGAACGCGCTGAAAGTTCGCTCTCACATGAGCCACCCTACAGCCAGCATCTTGCCAATCAGAATGGACAACGCACAACCACAGCCGATCGTTATTTACGCCTCACGCAGGACCATTTCAATCACAATCACGGTCCCTACGGCAGTATTGGTAGCAACAAACATCCTAATACGCTGAGTGGCGAGCGTTCGCCGCGTGAGAGCGAGTGTAATTACATACACAATAACTCTCATTACTCGCTGCCCTTGGATCATGCATTGAATGCCGTTACGCCTACACCGACGCCTCCGGCGTTGCCATTACGCAACGGGCAGCTGACGCCGCTTAACAGCAATAATACGGGCATGCAGCGTGTGCCAGCTTATAATAACAACAATTGTAGTAATGGTTATGCTACGATAGGCGGCGGAGGCAATCATTTTAGTGGTGGCGTTGCCATTGGCGTCGGTGGCAACAACAATAATGGTAGTTTAAGACGTTATCACTGATATACGCTTAAGGGCGGTTGGTGTGGCACAAGCCGCAGCGCCTACTATGAGAAATACGAATGCGCCTATGAACATCCAACAACGGCAAATCGAAATAGCTTCGAGATGTGTACATTTGTGAGGCCGTAAGATGACTAAATAGAACCAGCTTAGGGCTAACGGCAAGAAGGGGAAGTAATAGAAAATGTAAGGAATATAACAGGGCAAAGATCTACAAGAAATATAACATAGTTTGAGAAGACCTGGAGTTGGAAATAGTCACTATAAGGATCAAACATATATTTTTAACATAACTTTCGCAAAGTTTACAGAAATAGCAGCGGAAAACAGTTCTGAAGGAACGAACACTGCCGTAGAACAAATAAATCACAAAGTCCACAAAATTTTATGTTGAAGCTACGCAAATTACTGGATTTGATACACTACTTTATAGATGCCATAAATCGTTAGTATTGTAGTAGAAGAAGTATTACAAAAATAAAAACATAGAAACCAAATAAAGTTCGAGACAAGTTTATGAAACATGAGTAAATGATTATACCAATGTGGTGATCTAATTCATCGAAAGTCTCTCGAGAGCTCAAAAAACATCCCAAGTATCTTTCGGCTGATCGCAATTTTAGTGTAACTGGATCAAATCAGGACTGTCCGAAAAATTGAACTTAACAATGTTCTAGGAGAAGATATTGCTGGAAGGTCCAATTTTCAGTTGCCTTAAAGCGTGTTTTTTAAAGGAAGGCCTCCTGGAAATCCATATCCATACTTTATAGGTTCCTTATACGAGCATAATCCGAAATTATACATTTATTAGGGTGCTAAATCTAGATAAGTACTTATATACTTTTTGATCAGTTGCCAATTAGTTATACTTTCTTTCGTCTTTCCCTGCTAACAAGCTAAGGTTATTCAATCTTTTAAAATCTTCACGTTAAGCGATAAAAGGGGATCCGTTTCATAATTCTCAAGTTCTTTTCTATACAACAGCTGGCATTTTTGAATAACTTTAGTTTAGCTACTAAAGCCAGAGATAAAAAAACCAATATAAAGTGGTACGTACATTCAGACGAATATAATAACTTGACCGAATAAATACTTGACCAATAAAACCCGGTCAAGTGCTGCATATGGTCTACAAGACCTAGACCCAGTTTAATATCAACGAGCATAATCTCTTAGCACTTTAACGTCTCTGTAAACTAATTCTAAGGGAGGACAGATACATATAGTATATCGACCAAAATGGTTCTAAAGGTTGCTTATTTCTTACAATTAATCGCTTTTTTTCCAGGCAGGTCTTTCCGAAATGACACTAGTTCGATTCTTTTGTCTGAACGCAATATTTGTTCTCAATTTCATATTTTATAAGAACTATTGAGCGCTCTAATCCTTCTTATTACTTTTGCCGTTCTCACGAGTCAAATAATTATTTATTTAGTAATAACGTCCTATATTTTGATTGGTACATCTTCTAACCGTATACTAGATACACTAGCTAATGATCTATTAGTCAGTGTTGGCATAATAATAACTTGTATAATAATATTTCCATGAGTTCCCATATGTATGTCTTTAAAAATCCACACTGTACACAGAAGACTAAAGCCATTGTTCATAGCGCGTTATTGATTGTTGCCATCATCGATATTGATATCGCGTTATTGTATTCACTAGTGATTTCTTCAATCTACAAAGTAGGCAGCAATTTTCGTGATTTGGTTTTCGTATTAAAAACCGTTAACTTATAGGTTTTCCATTAGCAGCTTTAGTTTATTATTGATTGTAAATTTATCGGATATTTTTATTATATATAAATATTAGCTTTAAAACACAATTAAATCGACTTGTCAACATAGTTAGTTAACACAATAATTGGCAAGGCAATGCGTCTCCAATAGAGATTGGTTAGCATATTTATGCATACATACTATAAAATATTGTATATATGTATATGTATGTGCAGTTATATATGATAACGCTGTAAATTTACTTGCAAACTCGGAAAAATACGTGTATTCAGGCAAAAGCATTTTTTTGTAATCTAACGACAAGCATGCATAAACTGTAAACTTTTTTCTTGCAACATGTATTAAATAATTATTATTTAATTGGTTTTTATTTGTAAATAAATACAATTATGATTTTAGTCAAAGCGGTTAATTGAAAAGCACAAACACCAAAATATGCATACAAGTATGGTAGTGTGTGTATATACTAAAAAAATGTTGATGAATCCGTAAAAAATAGAAAACGGTAAAAAATAAAAAAAAAAGTAAATAAAATTAATTGCCATAAAAAATAATTATCGCATAATATGCTACTAAGCTACGGTACGAGACGATAAGGTAATTAAAAAAATAAAAGATCTTAAATAAATAAAATATTTCTCATTTATTGCGCGCAACTGTGGTGCAAATTATATAATTCGCGCATAAACGCATGCACACACACATGCGTATATTTATTGGCGCGTGAAAAAAGACAAACAAATGTATGAATTGCGACAATTGATTTTCAGTGATCTAAATATTAAGTTTAAAATTAATTATTTGTAAATATTAAAAAAATTAATTTTACATATGAATATTGATAATTATATATACATCTATATGTACAGATAAGTTAAAAACTATATAAAAAATCAAATTATATTGAAAATACTACAAAAATAAATGCAAGCAATCATAAATGAAATAAAATGATAATTATTTAAAAAACACAAATAAAACAAATATATATATGTATAATATTAATTAAATGAAATAAAAAAGTATGCAGCTAGCAAAGATATTGAACACATATATTTGTAAATATTCAAAAACAAGCAATAATTGTACGAAATATTACACAAATCAAACTAGAATTTGAGAGAAAATTTAAAGAAAAAAACTGTATATTTGCAATTAATTACGAAACTTAATAAGCAAATATATAACTGTATTATATTGTACACTTCTTAATAATATTGTCTWACACAAAAACAAAAAAAAAAAAACAAAAAAAATTCTTAAAACTATTACGAATTAAATTATTATTGGCCACAACTTATGTGTTAGTCACTACAGTCAGCAATAAAAATATGCAAACACAAAACCATATATCGAAATTATAAATTTTATTTATTTTTAGTTTAGTATTCTACTTAATCTTAATGATTTGCCCCATTTGATGATATGCTGTATGTATGTATTATAACTTTTACGCTGAAATAAAACACACAAACACGTATACTTATTACAAGAACCAATATAATTTTGGTAGTTATTATATTTTTCGATTGATTTTGATTTGCTTTTAGAGAATGGTAAGTTGAGTTAATTAATGAAAAAAGTGCTTTCTAATAGGTAAACATTTTTTCCTGCATTTTGCAATTATAGGCGACTAGAAAAGAACACATGCAATTAATATGACCTTTTTATACTCTTGCCACCAGTTGCTACAGAGTATTATAGTTTTGTTCACCTAACGGTTGTAGGAATCACTTAAAACTAATCGAGATACATATATGCATATATAACATGTATATATATAAATGATCAGGATGACAAGAAAAGTTGAAATCCGGTTGACTGTCTGTCTGTCCGTCCTTCCGTGCACGCTGTAGCTTGAGTAAAATAGATATCTGGATGAAACTTGGTACGTGGTTGGCTTAGTACACAAAAAAAGTTCGTAGATGGCCGTAATCAGACCACTGCCACTCCCACAAACCATTTTCGCCATTAACCGAAAATACATTAAGTGCCACAGCTAAGCATTAAATTAAGATATAAAGTTGAAATTTGTTACAGAGCATCGCGAAGATTTTTTTTAAAGTGGGCGTGGACCCGCCCTCTGACAAGTTTAGTGTACATGTCCCCTAAACCACTTGAGCTACTATAAGCAAATTTGGTGAGTACAAATCTTATAAGAACTTCTACCGACATTGTGAAATGGATGAAATCGGAGGATGAGACCGCTCACTCAACATATAAAGCAGTACTGTTAAAAACTATTAAAAGCGGGATAAATTAATAACTATATCTATATCTAACTAATCACTTCATTGGTTCAGTTTCCAGTACACAAATCCAGAAGCAATTAATATAACGGGATAAAACTTTGCACTTACATTAATGTGTGTCACCTTATGACCAAAAATTGTTTAAATCCAATAAAAACTGTTCAAGCGATTAGGCATAGTGTGGACCAAATGCTCATAGTTGACTTTTGATCGAAAATGTCGGTTAAATTAAGGTATAATCCTTCTCTTATAATGGTATGTCTGTATGTCAAAAATGGGTTGAATCGGACCAATGCTTCCCGTAATTCCCATATACTTTATATACAAATTTTCGAACCTCGGCGTGACTTGGTACCAATATGTGAGTTATCCCAACGAAAATAAAAGAGTGTGTTTTATTCATAACAGTTCACCTTTGTGCCTTAAACATATAAATTTGATCGAAAGCTTTGCCTAGCCCCTAAATAACTAATATCGGTATTGTAGAACAACCGGCTGAATTTACTCTATATGATTGGTTTTACACCTTAAAGTACAGTATTTCCCTAGCTTTGATTCTTGCAAGTTGCAAGAGTATAAAATGGCCGGTAGCACCCCAACTGTTCTATAAATGCACCTTATCTGTTCTAAAATGCATTCCATTTTTCACCACATATGACCTTTTTAACAAGAATAACTACAAAACTTTGTTTTCGCAGATTTTTATAATGTTCATTCTGGTTCATTTACCAATTTCAACGTTTCATTTATTTTTAGTCATTAAGGCAATTCAATAATTAAACGCTCATAAATCCGCTTTATCCCATAATCAGAGGCGCCGCCAGAAAAACTAGGCCCAGCGGTAAAAAGATCGCGTTTATATTTGGCATCCTAATTAAGGACAGTCTTAACAACTTAGCAAAATATATTTTTTTGAATGATCATTTACCCGGGAACTTAATTACAATTTTCTGGTGCTTTTTTGTCACAATTTACATAAACGGAATGAGTTAAAAGGAATAATTAAAAAGCGGTTTGGAAGCTTTGCATATTTAGCCATTAATGGGAACGTGTACGAATACTTTTGTTTAATTTTTTTTACAAGATGCTCGTACTTTTGCGATGATCTGTTCCAAGTTTTACGTTTTAGTATGGAACTTAGTTATAGCACTTTATAGTTTTTAGCTTTATGGCAATTTGTAGGCTTAACAACGGTCCGATTATGCATGTCTGCAACACCATTCTTCCAATTTAACGAAAGAACACGTGTGAATTAACAGCTTGTATAGACAAACTAATGGACGAACAGAAATACGAAACGGATTTCAAGTCCTCCCATTATATTGAAGATATATGTATTTAACCCTTCATCTATTTATGCTAGTTTTAAGTGACACAAGCAACCATTAAATGAACAAAACTATTATACACTGTTAAAACATTTGGGGAGAATGTAAAGATCAAATCAACCTTAGATGGGTGCGAAATATAGTGGTAATCGCTGAAGCTAAATTGAGTGCATTTGCTTAATTGCTTGCAATAGTGATCGAGTTGGAGTTCATTCTCGTTTAGAATCTGACATCACCGCCTTCAAGGCCAGAAATATTTACAAAAATTCAAATTTTTAGTGAAATTTGTTAGTAAAAAAAAGTATTCACTATAATTTGTCTAAAATGTTACATTCAAATAATGTAAAGATATCTTTAGAAAGAGTTGAAAGAGAAATTATTTCAAATTCTTTAATCAGCTCCCAGGAATCTTTCGCTGCGAACTTGGAGTGTCATTGCATTTAACATTGAATACAATTCATACTATAGTTTTTGTTTTATTACATAGAGTCTCCATTTTATCCATGAACCTTAGAGCTCAATTTACAACTTAATTATCTCAGGTAATTAACAGCAGTTAACGAAAAATTTGCAAAACCTAAACGTTTCTTTAATTTGTATGAATAACAAATTTAGATACCCATTTAATAACGTAAATAGTTGCCTCAGCTAAATGACTGTTGTGAATTTAAAATAGAGAAAATTTAGAGAGATTTCTCATTTCCGTGAAATGATTGCCTCTGCAACAAATATTTATGAGTGCAAGCGATCTCAAAAGGTTCTGCTCCAACGTCTGCTACCAAAAGTAAATTAATTAATTTTGAGCTGCTTACTGAAGACCTCATATGGGATAAAAATAAATTGAAAAGCTTACAGAGCTCGCATTTTTGTATGTATGCCATGTTTATCTCCAGCAGATCCAAATATTTATATATATATTTATGTTTTTTCTTCTTATTTATGAATTCAATGTCTAGTATTAATATAATAAAATTCTTAGAGATTGTTTAGCTCTGCACACAATAACCTGACTTCATCGCACAAGTTGCAAACATTTGTATGTATAACTATCTTTATATTAGGTTGTCAAAAAAGGTTTGCGGTATTTTTTATTTTTATTTTTATTTTTTATTTTATAACGGTTTGATGACTCATGCCCAGCTCTTGATCGATTACCAACCTATTATATTGTTATTATATTTTTAGTATAATTAAGTGTTAATGCTGTGCTTTCTGAGAATCACTAAAACATTTTAAATATCATAAATCATTAAAATGGCAGTCCATGCACACATAAATATAATATTTTCCAGCATTTACATTTTTGGATAATGAAAAAGGCTTCGGGGAAAACAAAAATATTCGCAAAATTTTCCACCAAGTTAATTAAAACAATTTCTCGACGCAGATAATCAT